TCCGGCAACGGTTCGCAACCCTCAGTGTTGCCCCCGGACCGGACCGGGACCGGCAACGGGATCGCAACCCTCGGTGTTGCCCCCGCGCCTCGCTCAGCCAGTGAGCGGGAACCGGTCTGTATGTGGGATCCGAACCCTCGACGGGAGCGCCGCCGCGCTTCCAAAGCGGCGCACTAGCGCAGTGCGCCACCGGGCCGGCCCTCCCCCTACAATTTTTAAAAAAATTTTCTTCATTGAGCCTAACAATAATGTCATTGCTCTGAAAGGAGGTGATTTGCTTAAGATTACACATACAGGCTAATTACGTAGAAGCAAAACGAACTTTTAAAATAGCATATATGGCTGCCAGTTAGCTCAGTTGGTTAGAGCATGGTGCTGATAACACCAATGTCCAGAGTTTGAACCCTGTACTGACCAGCTGCCAAAAGCAAAACAACAACAAAAAATAGTATAAATAGCTATTATAATACTCATTTATCCTATCACTAAGCTACTTCCAGTTTTAAAATGCAATTTAAGGCCTGGCTGGTTAGCTCAGTTGATTAGAATGTGGTGTATTAACACCAAGGTCAAGGGTTTGGATCCCTATACTTCCCAGCCGCCCCCCACCCCCAATCAAGTATCAGTGCTCCATGCCATAGAGCTGCTCAAACTTTTCCTCTTTGCTACCCCCTTCCCCTGTCATCAAATTTGCTAAATTCTCCTTTACTGGGAGGGAGAAGATTGGATAAATGAATATTCATTCTCTAGCCAATCTGCCCCACCTGTTCCTTCACTTTCATTTACAAGTTTCTTACTTGATTGTTCTATACTCTTTGCTTCCACTTTAATATTCACCCTCTTTTTAAATCTACTGTCTGGCTTTCCCTATTGTCACCCTTATATGGTTTATGAACAATCATTGCTGTTTTCATAACAAACTTTTGGAATATTATGTGTTGTTAATTATATCAGAAAGAGATAATTTCCTTGTGTTTTGAAGCTACTCCCCTGACTCGAAGGTGATTGGTTTGAATATACTTGTACTATTTTGAAGATTGGGGGTAAGGAGGGGTAGTAGGTAAGAAACCAATTTCTCTAGGGAAAAATGGACTATCTAAAACTATTTTAGTAACAACACAATCACTATTAACCAAGTACTAATACTGAGTTCTCATCAAATGTCAGCCACCAGGCTGAACATGTTACAGATTAATGTGCCCAAGTACATAACAACTATTAAGTGTCAGAATTCAAACCCAGATGTGTCAGACTCCAAAACCTACAATTCTCTCAGAAGTCAAAATAAACTTCCAATTAGAAAATCTAGTCAGTAACTTTCCCAGTGACAACTATATCCTGAAACTTCCCCATTTAAATTTGCATGATGATGCTGCATTTAATTCCCCTCTTACTTATCTGCCTACTCCTGTGTCTCCTCTTCTTTTTACCTCTCTCATTCTGGATGTTGAATTCTAAAGCTCTGTCACTCTACCTTTATACATTCATATTGTTTTATTTAGAGAGCCCATTCACTCCCTTGGTTTCAATTATCACGTCTTTAAAATGATTCTTAAGTATATTTCACTAGCTTTAATGTCTCTTCTAAATTCTAGTCCCAAATTTCTAACTTTGCTGGGTACATCTACTCATATGTCAGTCACCTAAAACTCAACAATTTGAAAAGCAATATGAATAGCCCGTAGGAGTATGGGCTCCAGAGCCAGTGTGTCAGATACTTCTTGCTGCAACAATGCTGTGTAAAACAAACCTGTGGTATACGAGAACATTATTTTACACATCTGTGGAGTTTAGCTAATCAGACTTTGGCTGATCTCAGTTGGGCTTACTCATGCATCTGCAGTCATTTGTGGGTTGGCAAGGAGATACGCTGACCTTTGCTAGGCTTATTCATTTGTTTAGGGTTTGGCTAATCTAGGATGACTTCCCTCTGCTGAGATGACTGGAGCAAAACGGCTGTTTCTTGTGTCCTTAGGCAGGATTACCCAGGCATGTTCTCTTGGTCATGGCAGAGGAGCAAGTAATTTTCAAGCCAATGCATATATCGTATATGCTAACATTTCACTGGCCAAAAAGCAAGTTATATGGCCTAACTCAGAATCAAGGATCAGGGAAATAGATTCTACTTTTAATAAGAGGAACTGCAGAGTCACATGGCAAAAGGTATGGATACAAGGAATTGTGAACAATTAAGGTCACTAAGGCAATCTGTCTACTATAGTCAGATTGTTTGTATTTGAATACTGGCTCTGCCCCTTACTAGCTGTATGACGTTGGCAAATTCTCTGGCCTCAGTTACCTTATCTTCAAAATGATTATCTACTCCTTTGGATTATTGTGAAACTAAATGCTTTAATAGCTACAAAGTGCATAGTAAATGTATAGTATCCTTGTCCCTAATTTTTGATGCAAATATCATGCCCTGAGAGTTGCACAGTTTTATAATGCTTTTTACTTTGGATTATTGTGAAACTAAATGCTTTAATAGCTACAAAGTGCATAGTAAATGTA